ATCACCTGGTTGGGTCATTTCTCTGAAAAAGCAGCTGGTCTCTTCCTATCTGTTGCCCAGTACTGTCGTCCATGCTCAGCTGCTGAAGGAGACTCCGAGGTGTGTGCGCACATGTGTATGTGCTCATGTGTGTGGGGTTGTGTGTGTGTGTGCTGTGTGTCCGTGTGTGGTGTGGACACGTGTGCTCTGTGTGTGCAAGAGTCTGCACACGTGTTGGTGGGGAGGGACGAGGGGCCTTGGCAGGCCTGTCCCACCCAGGGTGCAGCCATGCCGTGCATCAGGCCACCCAGGCACTGGGGACTACCGGGCGCTGCCCAAGTTTGCCTTAAAAGGCTGACTTGGTCCTTTTATCCCACTCAGCACCATTAGCTGAGAACCCGAGGGAGAGGCGCCCTGCAGTCACATTGGAACCCCCGCACCAGCTGAGGTACCCGCATTTCTATCTCAGAGACCTGAAACACCGAGTGGGGGCTCGAGGTCCAATGTCACTAGGGGGTGGGATGACAAGGGAGCAGGGAGGGTTCCCAAGTGGGAGGCAGACGGAGGCTTCTCAGGGTCACAAAATAGTCCATGAGAGCCTGGGAAGGGGTGGATGGTGCCAGGGGTCCAAGCTGGTCCTGAAAGTGGTCAGCCTCCACTGGCTGGGACTTCTGACCATACATCTTGACCTGGATGGTCCCTGCAGAGCTGCCCACACAGGACGGGAGGGGGAGAAGGCACAGGAGTGGGGCTGGTGCACCTGTCCAGTCCACCCATCATCCTTCCGACAGCTCCTCCCGACCATCCGCACGCAGTCACCGCTCCTGCCTTGGACACCCTGTAGGCGCAGTCTCCTGCTGCTCCCTCGCTCCCCCAGGACTTGGTTCCCGTGAGCTCCCTGCCCTTCTCCTTCCACCCACCTGCCCAGCCCCGTCTCCCTGCCGGAGCCCGCCTGGACCCCGCAGCCTCATCACCCTGCACACACTGTCCCCGATCCACACTCCCTCACTGCCTTGCCCTCACTGTCACCCCAGCCTTTGTTAGCTCCAGCTGGAGAGGACCCTGGGCCCACCCAATGCTCCATGGAAACTCATGCCTGCAACTGTGCTGCCCCGGTCATTCTGCTATCCCAGCCCATGTGTGGCCCCACTCCCTGACAGCTCTGCAAGCTTCTGACGGTCCCTCCCCTGGCTTGCTGTCCATGGTGACCTGACTTCCTGTGTTTCTGAGACTTGGAGCAAGCCCTTCCCCCACGTGGGCCCGCCTGCCAGTCTGTGCCTCGCCTCCCTCCTGCCCCTGTGTCCTGGCGCACCCGTCCCTGCCTGGGGAACTAGGTCACATCCCTCCTCCCACCCAGGGAGGAGCAGGCGGGATGCAGACTGGGGAGCAGAACCCAGGCCTCCTAATGGGCTGCCATCTCTGGGCAGGAAATTCTTCCTGTGTAGAAGCGGCAGAAGGGCCCACCAAAGGCTTCCTGGCACACTCTGCCCAGAAGCACGCAGGACAGCCCCCGTGGGCAGCTTAGAAGGGACCACAGCAGTTCCCAGATCCCTAGGTTTTGAATGCCCCTTTCCAGGTGTTTCCTTTGACCTGGCAGAAAGGGGCCTGGGTGAGCAGCAGGACGGGCCGGGTGCTCGGCACCCAGCTCCTACTGCCCACAGTCCTGGATTGCAGGAGCAGCAGTGCCTCAGCGGCTGCTGGCCTGGGGCAGCTGGTCCATCACGGCCTTTGCTTTTGTCTGGCCGCTCAGGCCCGCCATCCCATTGTACCTCTGCTCCCTCCCCTCCCCGTGGAGAACAGTCAAGGCCACACACAAAGCCTGCTGAGATTCTCACCCACCTTCCAGGATGTGTTTGGCCGTCTGCACACAGCGGAGGGCTGGGGAGGTGAAGACGGCGGTGAGTCTGACGCCACTGTCCATCAGCGCGCCTCCTGGAAGACAGCAGTTGGAAAACGCCCTTCACGATTCTAGCCCAGGAATCAGCTAGCAGCTTAGGTGGCGGCTCCGCCTGAGGCCGGCAGGGTCCTAGGAGGTTCTGGGACACCTTGCATGATCTTCCTGGGTGTGACTGTGACCATCAATCCCTGCTCCTGTGACCAGGAGACGACCCAGGGGACCTGACGGAGCCAGGTGAGCACATCACAAGCAGAGATTCCCCCAGCCAGTCACAGAAGTCAGAGGTTTGAAGCGAGAGGGGTTTGGCATGTGAGAAATTCTCCATTTCTGTCTTGCAAGAGGGGCCCCACGGCCAGGAGTGTGAGCAGAGCAGTCCCTCCCTGGTCAACAGCCCGTGAGGAGAGGACCTCAGTCCCACAACCGAGAGGATCAGCCTTCAGCCGGAGTCTGGATGGGGACCTGAGCTCCAGTGGGAGCTCCGTCCTGCGGACCCTCCGGTGTCTGGCTTTGAGACTTGGCAAGATCCATCCCCACCCACCTGGGTGCACACATGTGGGCTGTGCTTTAAGCTGTTCTGCAGTAACAGCAAACTTGAGGCCCCGGGGGCTCACTGTGGGACAAGCCTCTAGACCAGCCACCTTTCCTGCATTGTGGGAAGTCCCACTCTTGGGAAAGAAGGGGTTCCTACTGTGCAAGCCCTGCACAGGGCCAAGGCCGGTGGGCACCAAGAAGCCTGCCATGGAATGAATTGTGTGCCCCAAAGAGATGTGCCGGGTGGAGTGTGAACCCCAGGTACCTCAGATACAGCCTTATGTGGACATAGGGTGTTTATGGAGAGCATTGGCCTCCCTTACCTGTCGCATCTGCATCCAAAGGCCCAACCAAGTGTGGAACAAAAATATTGGAAAAAAGACTGCATCTGTGTAGAACATGTACAGACGTTTTTCTTGTTGTTCCTTAAACAACAGAGTCTGTTTACATAGCATTCACATTGTATCAGGCATCGTGTCACCTGGAGAGGATTGGAGTATGTGGGAAGGTGTGCACAGATTCTATGCAAACACCACACCATTTCACCTTAGGGACTTGAGCATGCCAGGATTTGGCACCTTAGGGGGTGACACTGGGTGAGGACCTCTCTGCGCCCAGCCTCCCTGCAGCAGAGAGGGCAAATGCTGATACTGACATTACACCGCACACTGAAGGGCCACGTCCCTGTAGCTTCGATGGCCACCCTGTGACTATCAGCTGCTCCTTCCCAGTGGCCTCACACACACCTGCTAGTCTGGATTGGAAAATTCCACAGGATGACAACGGAGGGTCGTTTTCAAAGTCTTTGATGCCACTGCTCCGTTGAGGCAGACTGCGAGGGAAGTTCAGGTCAGGCCTGTGGTATTTTCCTAAGGCAAAACGAAAGAACGTGGGACGTCGGAGTAGATGTGTCCCGAGAGGCCGCATTGCCAGGAAGGCTCTTATTTAAATCACCCTCAGCCGTTGCTTTTCCCACTCGCTCTGAGAGGCGGATTCCACTTGAGGAGCAAAGGCAGCTTTGCCGTGCTTTGCATAGCACTGAGGTTGCAGCCCCAGGAACCGTGACCCTCTCTGCCCTCCCAGAAGCCCCAAGAAGAGTCACACAGTGAAGATCCCGAGAGAGAAGCAGGGTCTCCATGACTGATGTGGCATTAATTAATTAGGTGCAATGTGACCCGCTCCACAGCGTTAAGTGTATCTTACAGCTTGCAGGACAGGGTGCACCTGGCTCTGATGATCTGCACTGGGTGCTACTCAGTGACTTGAGGGCAGGACTAGAAAGTCGGGTGTGTCCAGACACTCTCCCCACTCAGGGGCTGCATAGTACATTCTGAGTTCGACCGTGAGCTCTAAGATCTGTCAGTTAGGGTTCGAATCCTGGCACCATTGGCAACAGCTACATGAGGAGAAGCATACAGCTTACCTCCTCCTCAGTAAAGAGGGGAAGTGAGATTTGTGCTAGTGCCACTGAGCTAGTGCTGGAGCCCAGCGCCCGGCTCAGACTCGTGTCCAACAAGTGCCAGGGCCGTCTTCTATCAATATGCTCCATCATCTGTGCAGATGGTGTCACCATTGATGAGTGTGCTCCAAGTGACCCCGGAGCTCTCTGGTGCTGGCACATTCCTGCAGCCACAGTGGCATGGCCACTCTAAAGGGCACAACTAAAGAAAGTGAGACGGGGCCCTCATTGGTCATCCTGCCTGCAGACCCCCTGGACTGGACCTACCGTCTGCAGTGGTACACTGCTGCAGCCACGACTTCCCGAAGATCTGGTCCACTCTCTCCCCGTGCCGCACCACCAGCACGCTCCTCCTGGAGATCATGGCCTGGCGGTGGGAGGACACGGAACCCAAGTGACCAATCAGCCTTGTCGGACAGTGTCCCTCCAGGTCCTGGCGGCTGGCCTGAGGGGAAGCCTTGTCCCGTGCTGGTCGCCAGCTCTGCCCACTTGCCAGAGCCCTCACAGTGAACAAGGACTGGGAACATCCCAGTTCCTCCCACCTTTTCACTTCTCGGGCATCAGAGCCTCGTGAAGGAGATGAAGAGACAGGTCTGGTCCCCCCCATAACCCAACAAGTCTACGTCCCTGTCTCTTCCAAGTCCTCAGCCCTCCGCAGAGACTTCTTAGATTGTGATCTCTCTCTCGCCCTATCACTATTTTGTGATCTATTGTCACCGTATTTCTATCTCTCATCCATCTATTGGCTGCCACCTCCTGTCCTGCTGACACTCCTCCTCTTCCAGGAGCCCTCCAGGACTGCCCCTGTGTTGGCACGCTGAAAGGCAGCTGGACAACTCCTCTGGTCTCAGGTGTGTCCTCTGTCCCTGAGCACCCAGGGAGAAGCCCTCCATCGATCCTCCTCGCTGCCTTCCTGTAGCTGTGTTCTCTGTTACAGGAAAGTGCTACGGGAAATCCGCACGGCTGTCTCTTGCTGTCCATGGAGGAGAGTGCAAGACCCCTTCGGATACCAGAATCCACGGTCACTCAATCCCCGATACAAAATGGCACAGTATCTGCGTGTAGCCTGCACACACCTCCCATCTACCTGAAATCATCTTTCTGTTGCATAATAACCCCGAGGCAACAGAAATGCTATGTAAATAATGGCTTTACTGTTTTACTTAGGGACTGATGACAAGAAAACTGTCTGTACTGCCCAGTGCAGGTGTGCTGTAGTTTGGATCTTGAATGATCCCCAAAGGCCCATGTGTTCAAAAGCTTGGTCCCCAGCTGGTGGCACTATTGGCAGTTGGTGGGAACTTTAGGGGCTTCGTGGAGGAAGTCAGGTCACCGAGGCACTCTTGTAGGGGTAGTGGGCCAGCCCCTTTCTCTCTCCCTGCTCTCTGGCTGCCGTGAGGGGAGCAGCTCCTCCACCCTGGGCTCTTGCCTTGTTGCATTCTGCCGCCAAAGGCCCAAAGCAACAGGGCCAGGTGACTATGCCCTGCAACTAGGAGCTCAAATAAGCCTTTCATGTTTTTAACTTGCTTATTTTGGGGATTTTGTCACAATGATGAAACACTGACTGACTGAAGATGCAACTCGTCTGTATATTCTCAATCCGTGTTTGTTGAATCAGTGGGTACAGAACCTGTGGCTATGAAGGGCTGACTGTGTTTTATTCTGCTTCTTTTTGGCATGACAGAGGATTTGGCAGTGGCCAGCAGTCTCAGGTACTGGGGACAGCTGCTCTCTGGCACATTCCTCCCTTGCTCAGACTGCCCTCTGAGTGGCCTTAAGCCTTGCAATTGCAGGGATATGTCCCACCTGTTCTTGAAGTCACCGGAGGCCCTTCAAGTGATGATGATGCACTATCCCCTGGAGGGGGCTCCTACATGTGGGGGTCTATCGCCAGGGGAGCTGGGGATGACCCTTCTCCTACCCGTGCTGTGAACAACTGAAGGGGTGGGGGGTAGCTTGAGGAGCACCTTCTCTAAGGGAGATGGTGCGGGGGTGGGGCAGAGAGCAGAGTTCTGGGGACCGAGCCAGCAGGAGGCCAGCAAGAGGCCTCCAGGACAGCTGTGGGCAGCCAAAGCCCTTATTATATATAAGCCAGGACTCTGAGGAGGCACGGAGGGTCAGCCGTCACCCTGGAGAACCGCCACCCAGTGGCAGGCCCAGGCTTCTGGGGGCCTCTGCTCTAAAGCTGGATAGAGCTGTCCCACCTCAACCCAGGACCCATAGTGCTGCCTGCTGGCTCCCAGGACTCAGGCTGTCAGTGCCACTGTCACAACATGGTGTCTTGGGAAGGTGCATGGCACAGTGCTGGGACAGTGCTGCAGTGCACCCTTCTCCAGGAGCTGCAGGTCTCTGTGGGGCTGAGGGACAAACCCAGGAAGATGCATCACAGAGCCACTGAGGGCAGAGGGGTCAGTGCCTGCCTCTGGAGTGGGCTGGGGGCTTCTGGGCATAACAGGACTTGGTGACTCCTGAAGCCAAGGTCAGCAGGATGACAGGTGGAGAGCGCAACGTGACGGGCAGCCCGGGGTCCTGTCCTCTGTGCTGCTCCTCCTCTGGAAACGCGGAGCCTTGGGAGGTCCTGGGAGGGGACAGAGCAGCCTCTGGGTCTGAGGATGGAGAGGGCTGCACCCTGCCTCTAGACAGAGCCGTCACAAACCGGGCAGCACCGAGCAGCGCCAGTGAGCTCCCGCCATCCTGGAGGCCAGAAGTCCAGCTCAAGGGCTCCGAGGCCGGCCCTTCCTCACCTCCTCCAGCTCCCGTGGCTCCAGTGTCCCCTGGCTTGTGGCCGCACAGTCTCTGCCTCTTTTCCCGTGGCCTCTCCCTCTGTGTGCCTTTCTGCTCTCCGTCTGATTTCCCTCTTGAGGACAGCTGTGGCTGCATTAGGGCCACTGGACAAGCCCAGGTCCTTAACTGGATACCTGTGTCCTTTCAGGTCGCTTCTGCAGGGTCCAGGCTCAGGGCCTCTCACCTGCGGGCCTTATTCAACCTGCCCCAGGTACCCTGTTCCACCGGAGGCCACAGCTCTCCTCACTGTACAGAAGAGGCGGAATCAGAGCAGAGGAGGGGCCGCTGGCAGGGAGACGCGTGCTCCTTCCTTCCATTTAAAGCCCCAGTGAACTGGAACGCAGGCCGTGCTCTGGGGAGCCCTCTGTCCCAGGTGCCCTCCTTTGCTCTGGAAGGGGCCTGGTCTGGGAGGGCCGTCCACTCCCACAGTGGGTGGGTGGGTGGGTGGCATGTCGGCCCGCACTGGGTTTCCTGGCACCTGGGCAGCCGGGGTACAGGAGTCCGCTTCTTGTCCACTAGTGACCAGCAAGTCTCTCACTTCCGGGCAGTGGCTGCCCAGCTTGGGCCATCCTTCTCTCTGACTAAAGCAGATCTGTGTCACCTTCGGGTGTCCAGTGTCCTGGGCTCAATTCCTGTTTGGGCTGAGCTCCCCTGGCTCATCAGTAGCCTCTGGGGTGCTGAGCGGGTCTAGGGGAAGGATGTTGGGCTGCCTGCTAGGGATGCTGGGGCCTAGCCGTGGCAGGCCCTCGACGCCCCTCTTCTGTGAGGCTCCCAGTGTCCAGTGTGGGGTCGACACTTTGTGGCCCCCACCAAGCTGCCTTCCTCCTGTAAGCCCCTGTTTTTAGATTTGTAAAATGAGGGCAGAAATGCTAGGGATGCAGGAAAAGGGTCCTAATTCTGTGTGTGGCACCGGGTGGGAGCAGAGAGACCGTCCCACTGATGTAGTAACTGCCCAAGGACCACTGCAGGTGCTTCTCCAGGGGGTCCTGGTAAGAGAGACTAGCTTCAGGTGGAAGACGGTGGCCCGAGCCCAGGCAGTGTCCGGGGGCTTACAGGGAAACTCACTTGTCTTTGGGAGGGGGCTGCCTGGTCCTGAGCCCACATGTGCAGCCTGACTCCTGGTGGGCCACATGTGCCCCGGACTCTGTCCCCCACGTTATAGCGTGGGCTCCTGTCTTGCCCAGCCCTGCCTGGAAAGAAGGGAAGCCGAGGTTCCAGGGCTGGAGACTTCTCTGGGGGTTACTTGGCTTGTTAATGAGAAAATTGGAGCAAGAATTGAGTGTCCTGGCCATGCCCTGTCCCTGTCTCCTCCCAGCCTGGTGTCCTCGGGCCATGTCTGATGCTGCCTACAGAAACATGCAGACAGGTTGCTCAGCCACAGAGGTCACATCACCCTCCCCAGAGAGGACAGACCCGGGTGGCCCAGCAGCTCAGCCCTGGTGGGAGGGTACCTTGCTGGTCCACGTGCCAGTCTGCTGTGGGGCCACAGAGGAGGCTGCCTACAGATCTACAGTTAACACTAAGCAGCCGCATCCGCCATGAGTTAATAGAAAGTGCTGTGCTTAGTTGACTTTATGGGGGTGGGGTCCTGTTACCTGCAGAGCCAGCGCACTGCTGACACCCCTCGGCGCTGGAGAGGAGTGGAAGTCCCCACTTAGTCTGCCGTTGGCGTCCCCGTCCTTCCTGGAGTTCCCGTCCATGGCCAGACTAAAGGTGTACGTCCTGCAGGAAGAAGACGGCGTTGCTACAGAAGCACCACCCTGGCCGTGCTTGGCTGTGGATGTGCTCTAGAGTGTGACCACCTTGGCAGACAAGGTCACTGTGAGGACAAACTGAAGCAGCACGTGCCAAGTGCTCAGAACGGGGCAAACCTGATGGTGGGCTGTTCTGCGGCTGCTGGCCCCACCATGCGGGTTCATTTCATGGCCAGGACATGGCAGCCAGATGTTGGCCAAAGGTCATTTTATATTTTTGAGATGGGGTCTTGCTGTGTGGTCCAGGCTGGTTTTGAACTCCAGGGTTCAAGAGCTCTTCCTGCTCAGCCTCCCAGGTAGCGGGCACGACAGGCTCATGCCAACATGCTTGGCTCTAATGTCAGTTCAAGTGTTGCTGTGAAGGTGCTCTCTAAATGAAATTAAAACCGAAATCACTAGACTCTGAGAAAAGTAATTACGAGCTCTGTAATGCAGGGGGACCCCATGCAGCCAGGTCTTAGAAGGAGTCAGACCGGGGTGGGTCCCTGAGGAAGAGGGAGTGCCGCCCACAGACCATCTTTGGACTGGAGCTGCAGTGCCAGCTCCTCCCTGAGCTTCTCGCCCTGCAGACTTCAGACTGGCCAGACCACAGTTTTGAGCCAATTCCTTAAAATCTCTCCCCTTCTCTCTCACATCTGATTGCTTCTGCTTCTTTGGGGAACACAGACTATTTCTCTGGTTAATACACCGTCCTCTTTGATTCACCTTCTGAAACAGTCAGGTGTGCAGATGGGCATGGTTGGGGTGCAGGGACAGATGAACGGTGGGCAGGTGCCTTGAGAGCTATGGAAACATGGGAAAGAGGGGGTGCATTTCAATAGAGAGAGAGAGGTCGCAGGTGAAGAGGAAGTTGACACACGTCCATTGAATCAAGAAAAGTGCCCTAGGGTGGACAGGCGTTGGGGAGCTCTGGGGAGGCTGGGGATGGACCCCAGCTGCCAGGGGAGGTGAGAACTCTGGCTTTGGCATTCAGGCAAGGGTGGAATGCAAAGCAGGTGCGTCTGCAGGGAACCGGCAGTGGCTGGAAGAAGAGAGCAGGAGAGAGAGCCACGTCCCAGGAATCCTCCTCAGAGCAGCAGAAGATCCTCTCCCCAGGGAGGTCATCTTACAAATGCAAAGATCTCTAAAAGGAATCCACAGTCTCTGTCCGGGGGGCTACTCAGCGTCTCTCCAACAGAGTCTCTGTGCATTTCTCAGGGCTGCGCTGGGTGTGAAAAGCCCTTCTCCACCGGTACCTCTACCCACGTGTGTCCTCGCTTTCCGCCAACCCCAGCTCCGCTGGCTTCCTATTCCAGCAGAAGGACTCAGGATGTTTTGTTCCTCGTTATTATTAGAAAATATAACAAATTGAAAAAGAAGATAAAATATAATTTGCTGGCTCAGTTGATCACGGAATCTCACCCCATTTTCCTCATCCAGACAATTTTGATCTATCATGATCCGATCCACATTTTTGGGAAAAGGAAAGCTGATGGTTGATTAGAAGGTGATGAGCTTCATGGGGTAAGATAAACCAGGGGTGGCCAGGTGGGGGCAGCTGCCGGGTACACTGTGTCCCACAGAGCCCCTGGGTGCTGCAGGTGGCATGGGAAATGGAGAGGGAGGAGACTGCAGGGCATGCGGGTGTGGGCCAGGGGCCAGGGAGAGGAGAGAGAGCCTGCGGGGGGACCCTGCTCCCCCGGAGGGCGTGGGGCACAGCAGAGGCCAGAGTGACTGAGCAGAGTGCGTGGGGACGGGAGAGAGCTCAGGTTCAGGCGTTGGAACCCGTTTGCTGTGGACTCTGGTGAAAGACGTGTCTGTCGGGACCTCTCCTGCTGCCTCTGGGCTTCCCAAGTTCTCCCAGCCCAGGAATCAGAAGTACATGAGCTTCGACTGCCTTCCACATCCCAGACTCTGCCAGGGGTGGACTGTGAGACGGGGTGAGAGTGTGAAGCACCCACTGCTTCCCGACTTCTGGGGTGTCCTTCCTCAGACGCGAACCTCCCAGGGAGTGGGGGGGTGCTCCTCTGTGTTTTACCTCCCCTAAGCCAGGATGCTGGTTCTCAAAGTCTTCTCAACTGCCCCGTTCATTCTCCTAGCAGAATCTTTCCATTCCCTCAGAGAAGTTCCACAAAGTGACCCGTGGCGATTTTGCCTGAACTTCATTAAACCTGGAAATGACGGGGAGGAGCTGGCACGTTCCTGCCTCCACTTTCCTCAGCCACGAATGCATGTGCTTGACTTGTTCAGCCTGAGAGTAGAGGTCCACTTTCCCCCACAGACACTCAGGTCCCCAGGTCCCATAAACCCAGCAATGGCTCACCAGGCTTCTGCGCTGAGACCTGTCCAGGGCTGAAGTTGGCAGGTGTCATGTGTCCTGCGTCTCAGCCACGGCTCAGGATGGGGCCCCAGGACCCAGCCCTGCAACGCTTCCTGCCCACATGGTGTTTTGAGTCAGTTCACATGTTTCTTGTTTGCTTGCAAGTTCTGCTCCCCTGCCCACGTCGCCATGGCTTGTACTGTCTGGATCTACACATTCTACAGGAGGAGGCCAGGCCAAACTGATGGATGTGGTTCCCACGTGCTCATACCGTCAGATATCAGCAGACGTCAGCTGATGGCCAGTGACCAAGAGTAGACCTTGTGTTGGAGCCATGGACAGCTCCCTCTGGGAAAGGTCTCACATCAGACAGGAAACGCGGGCAGGGTTCTCTTCCTGAGGGCAAGGCTGGGGCACCCACACCCCCTTGCGGCTCACTATGCCAACAATGAAGCCTCGTTATCTACAAGTGACATCTGTGAAGTTTACAGTTGGAGAGAAAATCGAACTTCTCTGCCGTCTTTCAGATGAAATGCACTCAAGATGATGGTGGGGGTGATGGTGATGGGAGGGGACGGAAGGGCCCAGCTTTGTGACATTTCCGTTTTTCTCTAACTCACGAGTCACTCAGTGGTTAACTTACACATGGAAATAGATGTGTCTACACTCCATAGCTCCAGTCTTCCCCTGTGTCCTCACGGGGCCGTCCTTCTGTGTCTGTGTCCTGATCTCTTCTGCTTCTAAGGACACAGTCCTGTAGGATTAGGGCCACCTGAACAGCCTTGTTTTAACTTAATCACCTCTGGAAAGTCCCTGTCTCCAAATAAGGTCATATCTGAGGTCCTGGGGGTCAGGACTCCAACAGGTGAATTTAGGGGGACAATACTCACCCCAGGACAACTGCATTTTTCAGTCTGAACTACCTGCTCTCAATTCATTCTGTGGTTTTTGAAAAGTCACTTGAATGCCTCTGTCTTGGATGTTGGAAATGCTCTCATCTGGGCTGCAGGTCTCAACGGATCCCCCTGAGCTGGACCCTCACGTAGGCCTCTCTGTTCCCCATCCTCCTGCCCAGATGGCTGGAAACTGCTGTGGTCAGGAGTGGTCCCCATCATGATGGCCTTGCACACAGCTTCTCACCTTCTCCAAAGCAGTGGGTGGATATCAGAGTGTGACTTTGTGGTTGCCAGTCAAGGAGCCCCAGGACCACCCTGTGTAAAGGCTGGGTGGCCATACGGGTGCAGGGTGACTGCTGTATTAGCTGCCAAGTGTGAGCATCATGGCTGCAAACTTGGAGGGTCTGGAGAGCTGCAGTTCTTGACGCTTGTATCACGCGTGCCCAGTGTAGGTCCCGAGGCTGACATACATAGAGTTACCACCGTCCACCTGTTCACAGGCGAGCCAGCCTTCAGACACAGCATGGAACCAATTTCCCACTGCTTAAGACATCTGTGACATGTGCAGACATCCAAGGCCTGTATCTGATTGAAAAAGCCTTACGAGTTTAATAAGGACTTTCAGCTGTCTAGAAAGACTCAGCCGGCTAGTTCTCTGACACCAGGGTCCATGTCACATGTCACATTTGCCAGGTGTCTCATGGTTCCCTGAGTCGGGGTGGGGAGCTTGAATGACAGGCCAGTCAGACACCCCAGAGCACCCAGCCCAGAGCTGGCTTCTCTTTCCTTTCATTGCAATTTTTTGACATTGTAATTTTTCCTAAGAGAAACTCAGGCATAAAAGCTAGACTGGTTACATTGGTGACAGGTCCCTGATAGATCAGTTGTGATGTGAAGAATGTGACACCCACGAGCTCACCTTCTGCAGTCTTTGCTGGGTCATGGCTGATTGCCTGGTGGCTCCTGGGTGGCAATGAGCTCTCCTGGGCAGGTGGTGAAGGATGTGGGCCTCAGGGAGGCCAGGCTCCTGGAGTCTAGATGGCCTGTGGGGGTGAGAACATCTCTGCTCCTGCGATTCCGTCGGTGGCCCCCTGGACCAGTCGGTGCACTTTCTTAATGCTGCAGCATTTCTGGCCTGCTGCCTTGCCTGTCATCTTGGCTGTCATGCGGGGCAGGGGTTTGTACTGGGTCATCGCTAAAGTCCCCATGGACCAGCATCTTGTAGCTCTGAGGTGGCCCCCCAGACCCATGGATGTCTACACTAGCGGAGGGTGCGCTCTGCACTCACCCTTCCGCATGTGTCTGTGACCGTTTGCTGTGATGGTTGTTGAAGGAGTGTCCCCTCCACCTGGAGGCCGGAAATCTCGAAGCCCAGCTCTCTCAGGGTGCCTCCCTCCCTGTTCTTTCTTTCTAGCTCTAGGCAGGTCTCCCGCGGGCAGGGTGAGCACTCGACTGCCGAGCTGGGCCTCCCCAGCCCCAGGGTTTCTTAGAGTTCCGGTGGTTATGCATAGGTTCTCTTTAAAGTACTTCCAACAGCTTCTCAAGCAGAATGGCAGTTTTCACAGCTCTGACTTGGAATGAACCCCCGTGGGAAGAGGTACAGAAGAAGTTCCCTGGGTGTGTTGAGGCTGGATAA